TTCTATCTGCAATTATACTTTTGTTTGTACTGTAGGAAAAAAGACATTATTTACATTATTTATTAAATATTTAATGTCGAACAGTAAGGGCCCATTCAGACCTATCCCTTGCAGTGCACAGCAAAGCACCATGTATGTGTTAGTGAGTTGCAGTGGCATTCATTTTCAAGGGCGCCACAACGCAAGGTAACCCAGTGCATTATAGTGCATGTCTGTTTTTCGGTCTGTTTTGGTGCGGTGGCTGCCCAATCAAAAGAATGTGCTGTCTTTTTACAAGGCATGTTACCACTCACACATTGTGTATGCGTTACTGCTAAAAAGCCCCATTCTCCTGATGTAGCCAGCTTGTATGGCAAAAGCGGTTGAATTGGTGGAATGTTCTCAACTTACAGTCCAAAATAGATAAGTACCACATTGACTGTCATATTAATAACAATTATTGGCTTATTAATAGTATGTGATACAAATATACTGCACGCCATTGTAGTGATATTCTGGACAGAACTTTTGAGAGTATTAGCTGGAAATTGCATTTGGGATCCAAATGCTCACTGGATTTTGATGACATACAGTTGTGTTGAAAAGTTTGCTCACCCTGGCAGAAATCATGAAATTTTGGAATTGATATTGAAGATATGACTGATCATGTCACAAAACTGTCTTTTGTTTAAGGATAGTGATCACATGAAGCCATTTATTATCACATAGTTGTTTGGCTCCTTTTTTCATAATAACAGAAATCACCCAAGTGGCCCTGATCAGTTTACATCCCCTGGAATGTTTGGCCTTGTTAAGACACACAAGGTGACACACACGGGTTAAAATGGAATTAAAGGTTAATTTCCCACATATGTGGCTTTTTAAATTGCAATTAGTGTCTGTGTGTAAATAGTAAATGGGTTTGCTAGACCTCACATGGATGCACTGAGCAGGCTAGATACTGAGCCATGGGGAGCAGAAAAGAACATATAAAAATATAAAAAGATATCCAAAGGCTTGAATATGCTAGTCAGTACTGTCCACTTATTAAGAAGTGGAAAATTGGGGACACCTTGATGCCAAGCCAAGGTCAAGTAGACCAAGAAAGATTGCAAATAAAATCAAAAACCACTCTCTAAATAAACAAACTATATAAACACAATTCCCCACAGTACCATCAACACCTTTACCCCAAAAGATGTACAAAAATTAATAAGCAGAAGATGCTATAAAATAAATCCTCAATAATAAATATGTGCAGTCCAAACCCTATAAGTCCAAAATTAAATCAAATCAAGTTCTTCTCGAGTAACAGCGTAACACGCTTATTGCCTGATATGATTTTCAAAACTGTGTAAAACAGAACTTTAGATATGTACCAAACATTATTAAAGACAATAAAAACAACTCTGATTCATAAAATGGGTTTTATTGTGTTTTGAAAAAAGGAAGTTCTGTTGCTGCACCCTGTATAAGGTCAAACCTAAACAACATTTTCAATTGTATCCAATTAGGCAGGCTCTTGCGCTACATAGTTGAAGGTAAATCTAAAGGAAATTGGGCAGAAATTGGACAGATTTGTAAGAAAATTGTATTTGTATTTTTATAAATTGTATGTATAAATTGTATGGCCAGCCTAAGGGCCCATTTGCAGCACATCACAACATATGACAGTGCATGTAGCATGTACTGCAGGGCATGTGCATTGGGGCTACTTTGTCTTAGTGTGCCATTCAAAATGAATGGTGCTAACATGCGTAATGTACATTGCGTTACCAAAGCGAACCGCACCGGAAAGGAGGTTCTAAATATTCTCTGAAATGGATTGATGTGACAGCTAGGCAATATCTGGTATAGATCATCAATATCAAGCACAGAATCACTGCAGTTTTTCTCTGTGCATTGGACTAGACTGGTATCATCTGACTGATTTGAAAGAGTACACTTCAGACAACATTTTAAAGCTAAAGTTTAGGTATGGCAATTTTTGCACAGTTACATTGGTCTAGCTCGGATCAATGTAAATTTGTATCATGCTCGTGGGATCCCTGTGGGAACTGGAAATCATTGTAGAAGGCGCTTATACTACAGTAGTTGCCATAGGCTTCCGGGTCCTGTGCCAAGCAGCTATCCTTCCGTTCAGTGAACACTGGTCATCATTGGCTCGTCTTCTCAATGAGTGCAAAGTGTTCTCTGATTTGACATAATGGATATTGTGACATCACCACGCAGCCTCTCCACCTCATCCAATCAGAGGATGCTTTGCATTTATTGGGAAAATGCAAAGTATTCTCTGAATGGTCGAGCGGCGAGCGACCTCCTCTGTGTTCACAATGCAGCAGGGTAGCCACTTGGCACGGGACCTGGAAAGCCAGTAGACATCACTGTAGCAGCAGTGCATACTACAGTGATTTCCAGCTTGCACAGGGATCCCACAGGTATGGCACATGTATTCTTACATCAGTCCAAGCTGGACAAACGTAACTATGTAAAAATTTCCATACCTAAACTATAGCTTTAACCACTTGCCGTCCGCCTGCTGTTTATAAACGGCAGGACGGTGGCATTCCAGGGGCGGGTTGCCGTTCATAAACGGCACCCACATTTTTTAGCTGTGCACTCTCCCTGGGAGCGCGCAGCACCGCGATTCGGTGCCCGCTGTGTCGGAGGTCACAGTGGAACACTGATTGTCGGACGGGACCTCTGTGCGAGGTCCCATCATATGATCACTCGTTGGCCAATCAGTGATCACATGCAGAGTAGTAAGCAAGATGTCACTTGTGACATCATTGCTTACTACGTGTGAAATCTGTGAATGATCACAGCGGTCACATGGTATAAAACTATACACAACAGCCTTGTACCATGTGACAAGCTGTGACCAATCACAGCTCACACAGTAGTTCTCAATGGCTGCAAGATTGCAGGCAGAGAGAAGAAGAAATTATTTCTTTTACAGCCTTTATGGGTGTAAAAGCAATCAGTGTAAAAAAAAAAAAAAAATCTTCATCACCTCCAAGTAGTAGTGTGTCACCATGGTGACACTGTACTGCTAGGGTGACAGTATGTAAAAAAAAAAACAAATAAAAATATAAAAACAAATGTAAAAAAAAAAATGTTTAAAAATTATAATTTTTGGTTATAAACTAATTTGGGTTATTTTTTTTTTTTTTTAACTAAAAAGATAACGGAATCCATTTTGGCCAAGATTTATGATTAAATATTTATTTGCAAAATTTTATAAGAAAAACATTTTTTCAACATTTTTGGACTTTTTTCATTTACATAGCAAAAAAAAATAACAATCCCAGTGGCGAATAAATACCACTAAAATAAAGCTTTATCTGTCTCAAAAAAACACAAAAAAATTCATATGGGTACAGTGTTGTATGACCGCGCAATTGTCAAAGTGTGATAGTGCTGAAAGCTGAAAATTGGCCTGGACTGGAAGGGGGTGAAAGTGTCTGGACTTGAAGTGGTTAACCTCCTTGGCGGTATTCCCGAGTGTAGCTCGGGGGGTAACATTTCAGTACCAAAAGCGGTAACCCCGAGCTACACTCGGGAATACCATGCGGCGCTGCTCCGGCATGTGATCTTCACTTACCTTACCCTGCGCTCCCACGATGTGTCCCCTGCAGCGTCCCCGGCCATCTCCTCCGGCCGATGCCGGCATCCGGCTTCTGTGTCCTGTCCCTGTGACGTCGGGACGTACGGGCGCCGCCGCCGCCGGCGGCGGGAAATTTAAAAATTTTAAAAAATGTCATTTTTTTTTTTTTTCATTTTACACAGTAAAACATTGCTGTTTCAACCAATTTCACATACATTTTGTCCCTAGTGCTTTGTCCTGTGCCCTGCCTGCATTTTGTCTGTTCTTTCTGCCTGGAAACTGAGAAACGTCCATGGCGTCCAAAAAGTGTCCCTTTAGGTCAAAAGCGGTTTAGATCAGCTAGAGAACAGCGATAGTAAATCAGAACCACTTGCAGAATTGAGTGATAATGATTCGTGGGGGAAATTCGTCATCAGAAACTGAAAACGATTTTGCGACTGAGCTCAGCAATGTGCGAAAATGTGCTTGGCGCTATATTTCACATTTCAGTGTTTTTGGTTTGATTATATTATTGAATTAAATTTTTTATTATTTTTATATTATTTTTATTGATTATTTATTAAATTATAATTTATGATTTTGTGTTTCAAATTTTATCCTACCCGGGATGTTTACTAGACTCTTGTTCGGACAGATTTCAGTGAGTTTTTCCTAAAAATTACAGCCTACAATAAAAAAAATACATATTTCCATGCAAAAAAATGGTACCGCTTTCAGCACCAAAAAATCTGAAATAATCATACCGCCAGGGAGGTTAAAGGATAAGTTCAGCTTTTAGACAAAAAAATAATAAATGCATATTTTTTTGCAGGAAATAAAATGTGCATTTATTATTTTTGTCCAAAGGAGCCTGTAAAGCATTGCACAAGTGATCAGTAGATTACTGATGCCATGCAGGTCTCCTGCAGACCCGTCAGAATATATACTTGCCGTGCGGGATGTACAGCCAAGCAGATATTCTGCCAGGAAGTTTGAATGAACTAGCATGGCGCTCCACAGCACTGTGGTATTTCATTGAAAACTACAAGCCCTCAGGCGCTAAGGCTGCCAGGACTTGTAGGCTCTCATTCACAGAACTCTGAATGAGTGACGCGGCCATGCTGTTTTCAAATCTGACAGACAGTACAGGGAGACGTCTCCCCCCGTACTGTCAGGGGTAGGGGGGCTGGCAGCGGTGGGTGCAGCTGCAGCTATGGGAAAACGTTACATGGAAATTACTTGAATCACTTGTATTGCTGACCTATCCCAGTCAAGCCTGCACTTCTTTTCACACATCTCTACTCATTAGACTGTGCAATATCATTTTCTCATTTGTGTGCCTAATTAAGCGTCATATTTACCTGGACGTTTATTGCACTGAGTTTTATTATTTATTGTTATATATTTTAGCGCTGCACCTTTTGCTATATATATGTAAATTAATTGGTTTACATGAATGTTATAGCGTTTACAAACTGCGGTATAGATACTGGAATTTGTTTATTACTAGCAATAGCAGCAATCAGCGACTTATAGCAGGACTGCGGCAGGCATTCTGACACTGGGGGGAACTGACTTGGTGTCAATGACATCCCCAGTGACACCAAAACAGTGATCAGTGTTAATAAAAAGCACTGACACTGTATGAATGGCACTGGACAGGAAGGGATTAACATGAGGGGGATCAAAGTGTTAACTACGTGCTATGTGTCTGTGCTTTCCACTGTAAGAACACTTTTGTTTTGCCTACTATGCTAGGCTCACATGCTCCTTACCCAGAAATGCAAAATCGTGTGTGTATACTATATATATACATACAAACACACACACACACACATATATATATATATATATATATATACATACGTATATGTGTATACACACACACACACACATATATATATATATATATTATACACACACAGTTGCAAGAAAAAGTATGTGAACCCCTTGGGATTACGTGGAGTTTTGCATGAATTGGGCATAAAATGTGCTCTGAACATCATCTAAGTCACAACAATAGAAGAACACAGTCTACTGAACATAATACTACACAAACATTAGATGTTGCCATGGTTTAGGGCTGCTTTGCTGCCTCAGGGCCTGGACAGATTGTTGTCATTGATGGGAAAATGAATTCCAGAGTTTATCAAGACATTTTGCAAGAAAACGCACGACCATGTCCGCCAACTGAAGCTCCGCAGAGGATGGGTGATGCAACAGGACAATGACCCAAAGCATACAAGTAATTCAACAAAACAATGGCTGCAACAGCACAGAATACACCTTCTGGAGTGGCCCAGTCAGAGTCCTGACCTTAACCCGATTGAAATGCTGTGGCATGACCTTAAGAGAGCAATTCACACCAGACATCCCAAGAATATTGCTACACTGAAACAGTTTTGTGAAGAGGAGTGGTCCAAAATTACTCCAGATCGTTGTGCAGGTCTGATCTGCAACTACAGGAAACGTTTGGTTGAGGTTATTGCTGCCAAAGGAGGGTCAACCAGTTATTAAGTCCAAAGGTTCACATACTTTTTCCTCCCTGCACTGTGAATGTTTACATGTTATGTGCAATTAAACCATGGCAACATCTAATGTTTGTGTATTATGTTCAGCAGACTGTGTTCTTCTATTGTTGTGACTTAGATGACGTTCAGAGCACATTTTATGCCCAATTCATGCAAAAACTCCACATAATCCCAAGGGGTTCACATACTTTTTCTTGCAACTGTATATACACACTGTACACACACACATATATACACATGATTTTGCACACCCCTGCCACCTTTTAGCAGTATTTCTGCTATAGGGCAGCGGGAAAGGGATTAATTGGGGGGGACACTAACATAAATCTTCCAGCCAGCGGTCTATTCTTTTCTCTTTATTCCATTTATAGGAAGCAAAGAATATAAAGACAATTAAAAGACAAGCCCAATCTTTAGGAAGTTTACTTACTGCCCTCCTTGAGACTGTTAGATGGCCTGTTAAAATCTCTGCAGTTGATTACACAGACAAGTGAATGTACTTTCTGACTTCAGAATAGTTGCAGTGTTTGCTGGAATGCATTGATTGCCTGGAATTGTCCTCAAATGCCATTCTAATCATCACTGTCCTTTGGTATTTGTATCCCTGCTTCCCTGTTGGATGATTACCCGATGAACAATCAATACATTCCTCATGTACACTAGCCTTGGACAAGGTAATGATTAGGCTCCTCTGCGCTTAAGACCTGTTTTTCTCTCTTCTTGGCATTTCATTTCTGTACATAATTCCATCAGTTGAACTTAAAAGTCAATTACTGGAAACCATTAAATGGAAACACAGAATGTTCTTGCACGCAAACCAATCAGCCATGCCATGACTCCCGTATGCTTTAAAACTCAGCACAAAAGTTTTGTTTTATTGACCACCATGCTCAAAATGTCTTATTCTGTGTCCTCAGTTGGCTCCCTGGCGCTGATTTTCAAGTTGTGACATGATGGGACAGGTTAAAGTAAGAAGGATAAGGTCTCACGCACACAGACGGTGGGAGGCTGAAAATATGGCCATTATAACCCCTTCCCACTTGTGCCTGCTGGCCCTCTAAAAGGTTTCAGACACTAGGAGGCGGGCATTTCGGTCCAATGACCACCATGATTGGAAAGCTCCCGATCACAAGTAGAGATTGGGAGATTTCCATTACCTGCCAGTAACTGTGCCGAGCGCACACTCTTGGCAAAGCATTGTTTACATTTTGGTACGCATACAGGTGAAACTCAAAAAATTTGAATATTGTGCAAAAGTTCATTTATTTCAGTAATGCAACTTAAAAGGTGAAACTAATATATGAGATAGACTCATTACATGCAAAGCAAGATAGTTCAAATACATTTTTGCACAATATTCTAAGTTTTTGAGTTTCACCTGTATATGCGGCCTCTTGGCGACAAAGCCCACTCGCCGAGAGGCCACATATATGCGTAGAACTGGTGGGAAGAGGTTAACGTTCCTGCTGGTTTTCAGCGTCCAGGGAGCCACAGATGCAGCGAATAGCCTTCCATACAAATGAACAGCTGTGCAAGGTCATTCTTTTGTAAACGATGACGCTTCCATGCATCAGTGTTTACCAGCACATTCATGTATGTTTTTCCTGAGTGTGGGAGTTTCAGGTTTGGGAAAAATGTTGTATGCACTTGCACAGGTAGATGCTGATGCACAGAAGCATTTACAAGAGTTTGGCAGAAAGTATACAATGATTCACTTGTATGCCAGGTTCAACGGGTGCAGGAAAACACTGTTTTTATGCTGGGAATATGTTCAGCCTCAAACTGTCAATGTACCTAAAGCAGGTGTGTCCAACCTGCACGCCAAGACAGCTATGAATGCAGCTCAACACAGAATTGTAAACTTACTTAACCTCCTCGGCGGTATGATTCTTTCCGATTTTTTGTGCTGAAAGCGGTACCTTTTTTTGCATGGAAATATGTAGTTTTTTATATTGTAGGCCTGTAATTTTTAGGAATAACTCACTGAAATCTGTCCGAACAAGAGTCTAGTAAACATCCCGGGTATGATAAAACTTGAAACACAAAATCATAAATTATAATTGAATAAATAGTCATAAAAAATATAATAATAATAAATTTAATTCAATAATATAATCAAACCAAAAACACTGAAATTTGAAATACAGAGGCAAATTCGCACATCGCTGAGCAAAGTCGCAAAATCGTTTGCAGTGTCTAATGACGAATTTCCCCACGAATCATTATCACTCAATTCTGCAAGTGGTTCTAATTTACTATCGCTGTTCTCTAGCTGGTCTAAAACCGATTTTGACGTAAAGGGACGCTTTTTGGACACCCTGGACTTTTCTAAGTTTCCAGGCAGAAAGAACATTCAAAATGCAGGCAGGGCACAGGACAAAGCAGTAGGGACAAAATATATGTGAAATCCATTGAAACAGCAATGACAGCAAAAATGAAATTTTTTTAAAAATTTCAAATTTCCCGCCGGTTCCGGCGCCCGTACGTCCCGACGTCACAGGAACCGGAACATGGAAGCTGGATGCCGGCATCGGCCGGAGGAGATGGCCGGAGAGGCTGCAGGGGACGCATCGCGGGAGCGAAGGACAAGGTAAGTGCTGCAGGGACTCCCTGAGCAACGCCGCATGGTAAGCCCGAGTGTAGCTCGGGGTTACCGCTCTTGGTACTCAAATTTTACCCCGAGCTACACTCGGGAAAACCGCTAAGGAGGTTAAAGCTGTTTTTTTTTTTTTTTTTTTTTTTTATTGGGGAGCACCTATGTTTGTGATCAACTATCTTCAAGGATGAAGCACACGGTGGTCAAAATTAGAACCAAAATAAATGAAGAGCACCTTGAGAATTTTACTACATCGATTGAACCAGGTATTGATGTGTTAGTTTATCAAAAAACAATATCAAATATCGCAGTAGTTTTGTTACCCTCTTATACTTGTATAATAAAAAATATTACAAAAAAAAGTTGTTACTGGAATAGGTACGTTATCTAGATCAGTGGCCATCATTGTTAGTGTATTTTATGTATAGCCCAAGACAATTCCTCTTCTTCCAATGTGGCCCAGGAAAGTCAAAAGGCTGGACACCCCTAGCCTAATACAATCAAAAATCCATCCAACCAAATCAGTATTCACATATTCCAAATATAAGATGATTATTTCTCATTTCAGTATATGCAAATTATTGCTTTATACCACATTGGCTAGATGCACATCCAGAACCACTGGTGTATACATGGTGGTGAGTAAATGGCTCTGTAGTTTTAGACTATGTTTGCATGATACACCAGCAGTTTCATTTGTGCATGGAGTCAGGTGGGGGGGGGGGGGGGGTAAAGTGATGATTTGGATGGTCTGCCCACTGTCCTGAAACAAGGAACAATCCTCTCATTTTTGGGATATGTAATGGAATGAGATATGTAAATACTTTGTTTTAAGAAAGCTACATTGTAACAGATAGTTGACTGGAGCTGCTAAAACATCTACAGCCCCATGTGGTGTTTCTAAAGCTCCTTTCACATGGCATGGACAAAGACAGTGGATCCACTTGCTCAGCAGGGGATCTCTCCACTGATCCCTGCTGAGGAAGCAGATGACAGGTTCACGTCTGCTCCGCTGCTGCAGAACGGACACAGACACAGCCTGCTGTCCTCTATGGGCAGTCTGATGGAAATGGGCCACCTGTCCATTTCCATCTGACTACCATCCCATCTGATGGACAAAAGGGGAATGGATCCACATCCGTCTTTTTGGTGGATCAAATGTCCACGGCTGTAAACAGCCACATGTCCGTTTACACCAGCCACTCCATAGAGATTCCGATCAGGTCTGCCTGGAAAAAAAAAAAAAAAAGGGCAGGCAGACCCGATCAGAACATCTGTGTGAAAAGGGCCTTAGAGATGAATAGGCTACATAAATACATGTTGAGATTGCACAGTAGTTTAAATTTAAAGTGCAATTCCAGTCAAAACTTTTTTTTGCTTGTTATTGACTGACCAATTTTCCCAGAAGTCTGCAGAGCCAGAAGCAAAGCTAGAGGCAATATTTCCAAGAAAAGTGTTATTTTTGTATAAGAAATAGCAACTGTTTAGCTGGGAAACCAGATGTTTCTTTTCTCTGAGCATGGTAACTGATATCAGTTTGCTCAAGCACTAGCAATATACAGCTGGTAAAATAAGTATTGCACACGTTACCATTTTTTTTTTTTAAAGAAAAAAAATTATATATTATATTAATATATTTCTAAAAGATCCTATTGACATGAAATGTTCA